CCAGCGATCCTTCCGCTCAGCTTTCCGAGTAGCTGGAATTACAGGCATGTGCTACCACGCCCAGCTGATTTTTTGATTTATTGTAGAGATGAGGTCTTGCTGCCCAGGCAGGTCTTGAACCCGCGGGCTCAGGCAATCCACTCACCTCAGCCTCCCAAAGGCGCGGGATTACCGGCTGAGCCACCGAGCCCGGCCATCCCTTTTATAAATGACATGCTAGCCACAGTTTACCACTTGCACTACAACATTTCTGGTATTTTGGGGCCTCTGATACTGATGTGCACATGTTTAAAATAGTTTATGACATAAACAACATTACTGTGAATACTCGTGTCTGTCTTTATCATACATCCAGTTATTTCCTCAGGATAAATTCAACACTTGATCCTAAAGGACCAAGAAACACATGTCACTTAATTTAATCTCTACCACTTTGATGGTAGAAAATTATACTCTGTTTTAGTTTTTGTTATCTAATAGGCAGTAAATTAACCCTTAGTCATATGGCAAATATATTTTTCTCATTTTCTTTGCCTTTCAGATTTATGGTGTATATGTTTTCCCATGCTGAACTTTTAAAAGTGGTCTTTGGTATTAAGCTTTGAATATTCCAGCTATCTGCTTTTATTGTCTTGTGCTTTACATCTTTTTATATTTAAATCTTTTATCCTTCTAGAAATTCTTTATGGAATAGATTTTTTTCTTTCTATCCCAGCCCTTTTAAATTTGGTAGCTCAGCAATGTTTATTTCACCAGAGAATTTTAAAAAATAAGTTAGCTAAATAGAAAATTTAATTTATTTATTTATTTTTTGAGTTGGAGTCTCACTCTGTCGGCCAGCCTAGAGTGCAGTGGCTGCTCGTGGCCACTGTAGCCTTGACCTGCTGGGCTCCGGTAATCCTTCTACCTCAGCCTTCCAAGTAGCCGGAATTACAGGCATGTGATACCACGCCCAGCTGATTTTTTTTTTTTTTTTTTTTATTGTAGAGATGAGGTCTCACCAAGTTGCCCAGACGGGTCTCGAACCTGTGGGCTCAGGCAGTCCACTCATCTCAGCCTCCCAAAGGCGCAGGATTACAGGCTGAGCCACCGAGTCTGGCTAGAAAATTTAATTTAACACAAATTCTTCCATTTTGGAAATAATATGATTGATCTTACAAAAACAGACATAACTAAATAGGAACTCCTGAAACCAAATTTAATCTCATGAATTACCATGCGTCTTTCTATTAGTAGTGTCAATGAAATGGGGATAATGTTACCTGTCTCTCTTGTGTAGAATTTCGAGATCGTTATGATTCAGACCGGTATCGTGATGGGTTTCGGGACGGGTATCGTGACGGCCCACGGCGGGATATGGATCGGTACGGCGGCCGGGATCGTTATGATGACCGTGGCAGCAGGGACTATGATAGAGGTAATTACAGAGCAGTCTCAGTAAACTGCTTTCTTTCAAGAATTCCTATTTTGCCTTTTTTTTGGTCTAATGTAATGATCGCAATTTGGGATGTATTTACAGGCTATGATTCCAGGATCGGCAGTGGCAGAAGAGCATTTGGTAGCGGGTACCGAAGAGATGATGATTACAGAGGAGGCGGGGACCGCTATGAAGACCGATATGAAAGGCGGGACGATCGGTCATGGAGCTCCAGGGATGACTACTCTCGGGATGATTACAGGCGTGATGACAGAGGTAATCATTGTCTTTTGCTTCCTTCGTGGAGCAGACACTGGGAGAACTATGGGAAATGTGCAGCTGTGTTTCAAACTCCTGAAGTAGGCACAGATGTACTTTACACATTGTAAGGAACGCGGCAGAGCATAGAAAGAGCATTGGCTAGGGGTGATGATAAAGGAAGTAAAGCAGAGTCTATTCTTAAATGCCTTCGCATGTAGTTTTTTCAGTTGAAATTTGTTAAACAAACAGTAGAAATGGAAAGATATTTCCCAAACATCTCATTTAATAAATTACACTGGGTGCGGTGGCTGACACCTATAATTGCAGCACTGTGGGAGGCCAAGGTGAGAGGATTGCCTGAGCCCACGGGTTCAAGATCAGTCTGGGCAACTTGGCAGGACTTCATCTCTATAATCAAAAAATTAGCTGAGAACGGTGGCATGCACCTGTAGTTCCAATTACTCAGAAGGCTGAGGTGGAAAGATCGCCTGAGCCCAGCAGGTCAGAGCTGTACTAGCCGTGAGCCTGCCACTGTACTCCAACCTGGCCAACAGAGTGAGACTCCGACTCAAAAAAAAAAAAGTAAATAAATTGCACTTAAAGTTGGTTTAGGCCCAATTTCCTTTTTTTTTTTTTTTTTTAAGTCTCACTCTGTCGCCCAGACTGGAGTGCAGTGGCACGCTCCTGGCCATCGCAGCCTCGACCTGCTGGGGCTCCGGCGATCCTTCTACCTCAGCCTTCCAAGTAGCCGGAACTACAGTGTGCACGCTACTATGCCTGGCTAGTTTTTTGATTTATTGTAGAGATGAGGTCTCGCCAAGTTGCCCAGGCGGGTCTCGAACCCACGGACTCAGGCATTCCACTCACCTTGGCCTCCCAAAGCGCGGGATTACAGGCTGAGCCACCGAGCCCAACCTAGGCCCATTTTCTAATGCTGTAAAATGTGAACTGTGTTATAAATCTGACCTGTCAGAAATTACTAAAAAATGACCACCATTTGTCTTCTAATTTTAATGATATCATTTAAAAGGTTATGGTATCTGGTGTAGAATTTTTTTGGTTTTTTTCTTTTTTTTAATGAAGACAAGAGTCTTGCTGTGTCATCCAGGCTGGAGTGCAGTGGCACAATTACAGCTCAGTGTAATCTCCAACTCCTGGGCTCAAGCAGTCATCTGCCTTGGTCTCCCGAAGTATTGGAATTTCAAGTGTGTTCCACTGCACCCAGCTTGAGCCCAGCCCCAGTTTTATCTTACAAAAGCGAAGGGAATGAATCTCTCACAAAGTCACGCGGAAAATACAAAAATGTGAATCAGAACCTGTGTAAATTATCAGCTTAAAGACCTTATAGAAAATTTTAAGTCTTGCTAAACAATACCTTCTTTCTCTGTAGATGTGTATATGTAGTAAAAGTATAACATCATACGTGGCATTTCTTTCTCTTTTTTTTTTGAGTTGGAGTCTCACTCTGTCGCCCAGACTGGGGTGCAGTGGCATGCTCCCAGCCACTGCAGCCTCCACCTGCTGGGCTCCGGCGATCCTTCCACCTCAGCCTTCCAAGTAACTGGAACTACAGGCGCGCACTACCACGCCTGGCTAATTTTTTGAGTTGTTGTAGAGATGAGGTCTCGCCAAGTTTCCCAGGTGGGTCTCGAACCCGTGGGCTCAGGCAATCCACTCACCTTGGCCTCCCAAAGCACAGGATTACAGGTTGAGCCACCGAGCCCAGCTATACGTGGCATTTCAAAGTCACCATTTAATGTTTGTGAAAGGACAGAGTACAGCTTAAGTACACAGTACTTAAGGTTGGTGGTTGTATATAGACTTTCTTTATATTCTGTATGTCTTTCGTGTGTCTCAAGTGTTCAGGATAAACAATGATTTTCAGAGGTTTAATTTCCTTGAAACATTTAGGTTTATCTTGAAAATATTCTGACAACTTGGATTAAGGAAGAAATGAGGCTCCCTTAGCATTTATCTTTGTATGTTCACTGTTGCATGCTTTGCACTGTGAGTCACTCGTCAAATTTATGTTACACCAGAGACAAGAGTATAAGAACTAGAATCTTCCCTATCATATTGTTACAAGCTCCTCTTAGCCCTCTGAAGACACCCATCCAGAACAGATTTCTGAACGAGATACTTTTATGCCGTAGTTAAATCACAGTCAAAAATTTTGGCCGGACTCGGTGGCTCAGCCTGTAATCCCGCGCTTTGGGAGGCCGAGGTGAGTGGATTTCCTGAGCCCGCAGGTTCGAGACCCGCCTGGGCAACTTGGCGAGACCTCATCTCTACAATAAATCAAAAAATTAGCCAGGCGTGGTAGCGCGCGCCTGTAGTTCCAGCTACTTGGAAGGCTGAGATGAAAGGATCGCTGGAGCCCAGCAGGTCGAGGCTGCTGTGGCCGGGAGCGGCCACTGCACTCCAGTCTGGGCGACAGAGTGAGACTCCAACTCAAAAAAAAAAATTTCTTCCCAGGTAAAAGTAATCATGATAAGTGGCTAATTTACCACTTAAATGCTTACCGTTTTTAGTCTTTCCCATAGTCTGGCACTGCATCATGGATGTGGTAGAGGAAAAAGCAGTTGGAGCTGGTTATTTACCCATTTCTAACACTCTCCCATCTGCCTTCTTTGCTGATTGACTAGGCCACTAACTTGACTCCCGTGTAGCATTCAGAAGAGCTATATCCGGGAATCTGGCTTTCAGCCATCAGCTTTTGATGATGTGGAAAACTATTACTTAGAGTTTCATTTAACTTAGGTCCCCCCCAAAGACCCAAACTGAATCTAAAGCCTCGGAGTACTCCTAAGGAAGATGATTCCTCTGCTAGCACCTCCCAGTCCAGCCGAGCAGCTTCTATCTTCGGAGGGGCAAAACCTGTTGACACAGCTGCGAGAGAAAGAGAAGTGGAGGAGCGGCTACAGAAAGAGCAGGAGAAACTGCAGCGCCAGCTGGACGAGCCAAAGCTTGAACGGCGGCCTCGGGAGAGGTGAGGTTGTCTTCGGGGTGGACTTCCCATGGCGCGTCAGTGGCTCACCAGGCATTTGGGAAATGAGTGTGCCTGGTATTGGTTGCCCCTGATGGGTGTTTAGTGGGCGGGGTGTTAGGCAGTCTGCAGTGGATGAGACAGTTCCACGCAATGAAAAGTGTTTACTACTAAAGGGTGGTATCATGTCTGCTAGGGTAGGAGCTCCTAGAATAATAAACTGTTCTGGAAAACTAGGTCTAGGTATGATGGCTCATAAGGATTGTGTTAATAGTAAGAAGGGGGAGTGTTGTAGATAACATAGGAGCATGTTCTTAACCTTATTAGCTGATTCTTGCGCCAATGTGTGTTTTAATGTCTGCAGTTTCCATATAGTTAGAGGAAAAGATAAACTTACATACATATTCACCCGAAGATAAAGCAAGTATGGCCAAATATTCAGTATGGTTCTTAGGAGTCACCGTGGGTCCAGGCTGGTCTTCACTGAGCCTGACAGTAATGCATTTTGTTGAATCACTTTTGTACAGACACCCAAGCTGGCGAAGTGAAGAAACTCAGGAACGGGAACGGTCGAGGACAGGAAGTGAGTCGTCACAGACTGGGGCCTCAGCCACATCTGGCAGAAGTAAGTCAGACCAGGGTGGGTATCATGATATTGCTGTTTTCCATAACTGTCCATAACCAAATTATACAGAGTCTTTACCAAATCCAGTCAAGAACTCTTTCTTTGCATTCATATGGGAATAGAGTTTCAAATCTTTTCCAGAAAGTCTGAAGAATGGGCACCAGAGTAGACTTAGATGATATGTTTAATAATCTTCTAGAGCGTATACTTGAGTGTGTTAGATTTATCCTTTGACATCCTAACATCTGAGAGTTTTGTTTATTCACAACAGTCATAGGTCAGCCTGTTTGAAATTTCTTGTGGAGATAGTGACATCTAGCTGTGTTGCCTATGCTGGAACTCCTGGGCACAGGGGATCCTCCCATCTCTCTACCCCCAAAGTGCCATCTCTTTTTTTGATGTTGATATCACTAGAGCAGTGTTGTCAAGTGATGTTATTCTGGTCTTCATTCTTCCTCACTAATCACTGGTTGTTCACAAGCGCTTCCAGTGTTTTGGAAACCTAAACAGTTCAATCAAAATACCTCTTCTCTACCTAGATGTTTTTTAAAGTCTTTCCTTCCACCTCTAAATTGATTTATACTTGAGCATTTCAAAACACAGCTCAAGGCTGAAGTGATTTGGAAATTCATCCAAGTGTTGTAGGCTTTTTCTGGAAATTATTCCTACTGTAGTAGTCGCAGTATAATACTGTAGAATCGATTGTGTACCCATTTCTGTAGAGCCTGCATTTAAGATGCAGAAGTCTCACAAAATAGACTCCTAGTTTTAAGAAGACACTTAGTGCCTTTTTAAAAACACACATACATGTGTATGTTGTTCTTCATAAATGTGATTGTGCCCCAGTCCGTGTGTGTGTTGAGCAGTAGTGACTGGAGTTCCACATTTTTTCATATGTCCTCTCTGGCACATGCAGACCATTTTTGAGTTCAGGGCATCCGAATGTTGGCATGTAGAGAGGCTGCAGTCTTCAGGGACACGTACTTGTTCTTAAGAAGGTCAGGTGGCTGGCTGTCCTTTCAGGTATAAGTGTAGGGGTGTGTGTGTGTACACACATATATATACATATGTATAGCCATTGTTTTTTCTATCTCTGCATCAGTGAAACATTGTTCTCAGAATGACATTTGGAAACCAGTGGTTTAGGGATAATTCCATCTTGGGGAGTCATACTTGGATCTTCATTTAAGAATAGTAATAGAATGCAGTAAACTTGAATGTAGACCATTTTCCACTCTATTGTGATCCTGGTAGATACACGTACAACAAGCTGTTTTGTCCTCCTGAGTAATTTGATCTTTCTACCTTGACTTCCCAGATGCACGAAGGAGAGAGAGTGAGAAGTCTCTAGAAAATGAAACATTCAATAAGGAGGAAGACTGTCACTCTCCAACTTCTAAACCTCCCAAACCTGATCAGCCCCTAAAGGTAATGCCAGCCCCTCCACCAAAGGAGAATGCTTGGGTGAAGCGAAGTTCTAACCCTTCCACTCGATCTCAGAGCTCAGACACAGAGCAGCAGTCCCCTACAAGGTGAGTCAACTTGGAGACAGTCGGTTAGCCGTACAGAGCCTTAATGTTGTGATATAGTGATGGCAGATACAGCCCTATAGGTTGTTGGCCTTACACAGTGCCTAAAGTTAAGCTGTTTTTGTTCTCTTAGTGTGCCGGAGCTGGCTCATGAGAGCCAGTTACTCAGTTTTCTGGAGTTTTAATAGCCAGATGATATCAGTCTGGTGGCTTGAAATCAGCTGTGATGAGAGGGCTAATACCACAGAAATCTGCAGTGCTACAAATCAGAGGCTTTTGCCACATATTGGCTGTATAGATTTGGGGGTCACTTTCCTTCATTTCTCCAAGTCTTCATTTAGTCTTCTCACATTTGTAAAGAAAATAGTAATACTAACCTTGCCTGATTGTGATGCTTCTAAGCATGTGGCACTTCATGAACGTCCAGATGCTTGCTTCTGTTGTTGTCTTTCATGTGTGTGGTGTTCTGTAGTGTTATTTATGGGGTTTTTGTTTCTGTAAAGCTTACTGCATTTGGAGGCTGAGTTTCTTACCTGTTTTGTCCCTGAAACAACTGATGAACATGGTTACATGTCTTTCTTCCAGTGCTGGGGGGAAAGTAGCTCCAGCTCAGCCATCTGAGGAAGGACCAACCAGGAAAGGTAAGACCATGCTACGGGAACTAGGCTTTTTTTTTTTTTTTTTTACCTGGAAACCTAAATAAAAAGTCCTCCAGAATCAAATGTTGAACCGCAGGGCATCTTGCTCCTAAAGGTTCTGGGACTATCTACCTTTTCATACCAGTAGAGGGCAGAGTAGTCCTTTTGGAGAAAGCCAGAAGCCCCGCCCTTTCCTGGTAGAACATTTCTTTGAAAGGGGGAGGAAAAAAAATCGGAAGGAAATTAACATGTTTAGTCCAGATTAGAAATGTCACAGTCAGCAGGGCCAAGGTCACTTACAGAGCGTCATAGTCCTTATTTCCAGTTGCTTTCATGTTGTGGCCCTACAGTGGAACTTTTTAAGTGGGTCTTGTTTGGTCTTTTGTTTATATGTGATATAGAGGACATGGGAAGAAGGACTTTGGGAAGGAAGTCTGGGTTGGTGTGAGATTTAATTTCCCTCAGTACACACGGGCACAGTTTTCAGCTTAAGGGAAATTTAGGAGAGGGCTAGTGATTCTTTTACTTGTCTTTGATTTGATTCTGTGTTACTGCTCAAGCAGATGAAAATAAAGTAGATGGGATAAGTGTCCCAAAAGGCCAAACTGGGAACTCCAGCCGTGGTCCAGGAGATGGAGGGAACAAAGACCACTGGAAGGATTCAGATAGGTATGTGTATTCTCTTTCTGTTCATTTATAAATCTTTTATCTGACACATGTGTCTTTGTAATTAAGTTATTGGTTCTCAGAGCACTGCCAGATCTCTCATTGTGAACAAGCTAAAGGCAACTGATAGGGACTGTTGTGATTTGGAGCATCTAGAAATATAAGAAATCTAGTCCTGATAGCAAGGATGGTCAGCTGGAGGTGCCTGTTCTGTCCCCCTTAGCTGCGTGCATGCATGCATGCATGCATGTGTGTTGGGAGAGTCCTCTCCTGAAGATGTGGTTTTATGCTTGCGTTTCTGTAGGAAAGATGGCAAAAAGGATCAAGACTCCAGATCTGCACCTGAGCCAAAGAAACCCGAGGAAATTCCAGCCTCTGTAAGTACTAAAAGCTTGTTCTCAGCTTTTCCCAGCTTACTTTTGCCATTGAACTTCTTTATATTTGGGACTAGAGAGTGGTTGGAAATAAGGCAGTAGTGTTTGTTTAAAATAGTGAATTGCCCGAGCCCGCGGGTTTGAGACCCACCTGGGCGACTTGGCGAAACCTCATCTCTACAATAAATCAAAAAAATTAGCTGGGCGTGGTAGGGTACGCCTTTAGTTCCAGCTACTTGGAAGGCTAAGGCGGAAGGATTGCCAGAGCCCAGCAGGTCGAGGCTGCGGTGGCTGGGAGTGGCCACTGCACTCCAGTCTGGGCGACTGAGTGAGACTCCAACTCAAAAAAAAAAAAAAAAATAGAGAAGCCGGGCACGGTGGCTCACGCCTGTAATCCCAGCACTTTGGGAGGCGGAGGCGAGAGGATTGCCTGAGACCAGGGATTCGAGACCAGCCTGGGCAACATGGTGAGACCTCATCTCTATGATAAATCAAAAAATTAGCTGGGTGTGGTGATGCATGCCTGTGGTTCCAGCTACTTGGAAAGCTGAGGCAGAAGGATTGCTTGAGCCCAGTGGGTTGAGGCCGCAGTGGTGGTTAGCATGCCACTGCACTTAAGAGTAAGAATCCGACTCAAAAAAAAAATAGTGAAAGAAGTTTAGATTACTTTTTTTCCCATTTCCACCTTCCTCTGCTGTCACAGAACAATGGTGTATGACTGCATACAATAATGTCTCCTTTGCCTCTGCCCTCCTTTAGCTTCTTTCCATTGGTAAGTGCTAGTGATCTAGTGGGTGTAGTCTGGACTGTCGTTCCCCCATCTGCCAAGTAGCCATATCCCTGTTTCTTGGGTTTTGCTGTGATCCGCATTGCCTTCGTTGTCTTGTCACTTTCATCCATTCCAGAAGTTCAGTTCTGCAAGCAAGTATGCTGCCCTCTCCGTTGATGGGGAAGATGAAAATGAGGGAGAGGACTACACCGAATAGACCTCGACATCCTGTGCTTTCTCCTGGTCTCTCTCCACCCTGGAACATTCAAGAGCAAATCAAACCTCTATCCAGACAAGGCAAAATAAAACTCACCATCTCCTGGAGACCTTTCTGAACTTTTTTTTTTTAATTGAAAAATACTTTTGCATGCTGCTGCAGCCTTTAAAGTATTGAAGTAACTGGAGAATCATCAATGTAGCCAGAGAGAAAGAGACTACAGCTTTTTGATGGAAAAGTTGTGGTGTGTTTTTATGACACCATGCAGTTGCCTGTGTGATTAGTGCCTAGGGGAGTCCATTCAGCAGAAGTGGTCATGACAGTAATGCAATGTCTGGAATCTGGTTGGGCAATAGGGGAGAGGTACATGGAAGTGTGAGATTCCTACCTTTTAATTTTTATCCTATTGTGACATATATGAATTCTCAAACATGATCTGAATAAATTTTCCATCCATGGAAAGGTAGGTTTAGCCTCTCAAGTTGTTTCAGTCTCCAGGAGGCTGCCAGCCCCTTCTCTTATTTAATTCTGAGTTAGTGGGGCCAGCCTAGGGGGAATTTCTTCATTTTTTACCCCCCAGGGGGGTAGTTGGGAGTGAGTCTATAAGCCGCTGAAGATTAGGACAGCTTAGGACCAAAATAAATGGGAAAATCGTGATTTGAAAAGAAGTTTCTGGGAGATGATGAATCATTTTGCACCAGGTAATAGGGAAAAATTGTGTGACCTCCAATAAACACATGAATGGTTATTTCCTGGGGCAGGAAGCACTTAGGGGTCGTGGGAATTCCCAATTTTTCATGTGTTCTGGTTTTGCCCTTTTTAAACACTGTCCTTTTTGAGAGTTCAAATATAGCCACATTCTCTTGAAATCTTGACGTTTTAAAAATTTAGACTTGCCATCGTCTCAAGTTCTTCGTGCTACTCTTAACCTCCTAACAAGCAGTCTCTATTTAAGCCACATACCTGATCTGGGCATTTTATGCCTCGGTCTCTGGGAGCTGCGAAAGGAAGAATCACTGCTTTTCTCAAGTAGATGGGTTCCTTGATGTCTTCTGACTCCCTCTTTCCCTCCATCCATGCCTGCTCCTGCTGCTTTGACCCTTTCAGAATACTCCAGAATTGATGGTCTTGGGTGGTGAATAAGTAAGGACAGTTAAATTGGGGGCCCTTTCTTACAACACTGGTTGGGGTTTGGCTTTTTTTTTTTTTTCTCAGGTTTCCTTCTCTCCACTGAAATCCCACACCAATGCTTGGATTTATAATGTGGCCTAGACCAAAGTGTGGTTGGGTTTTTTTTTTGTTTTGTTTTAAGCTTCCCTTGAGAGAATAAATGGAAACGGAGAGAGCTGTTAAACAAGGTCCTGGTTTCTCTTGCAACGCAATAGCTGAACTTGTCTGCTTTTCTGTGCATTTTTGTAGGGGTCAGCTCGGTAGATGGTACCTATCCTTCCCTGTCATGGGCCACGTTAGTACCTGCAGAGAAATGACACCTCTGTCTCTTGTTTGCCAGCCCTTCTCCTGTCAGTTCTAAGTTAGACCCCATCCAGCTGTGCCAGGGGTGTTGGTTTGTGCATGCTGCAGCAGTGAGCATAATGCGTCATTTATCCAGTGGACAAAAGGTACACCACGTGAATTAACTCTAAATAATTGGCATGGATTGGCTAGTAGCTAGGAAGTGGGCTTTTTAAGAGAGCATTCCGAAGGTTGAGAGAGTTTAAAAAAAAAACAAACCATTGATCGTAGATAATGAAAAGTTGAGGTTTGCCCTCTTCAGTCTACTCTTCCAAATAGTTGTCTGAAAAAAAAGTTGTTTATCCCACACTCCTACCTTGCCCCCTGCTGAGATAGAAACGGATTGATTTATGTCCCACTCCTGAATACATGTAAAATTTGTACAAAAATATCTTCTATGAAAATGATTTGTAATCTGTAGACTTAATACCTGGGAGATGTCTTGAGATGTAAAATCCCATCCTTTGGGTTATGGGTTTTTTGTTTTCTCCAAATAAATCAGATCTTTAAAGTTCATTTAAATGCTGAAATTCTTTGATACTCTTCCCAGTGCTGTTGGCCTCCTGTGGACAGCTTGCTCCTCCTTCCCGCATCGGCCCTGAAGGTCTTGTCTAGCATTGGGCACCATGTTGTGTAAGATCAGAGCATGAGTTATACTGGTGCATACTGAGGCCCAAGAGCTGAGGGTTTGCATCCCAGCTCCCCCGGGGCAGGTTTTGCCTGGGCTTAACTTCCCCCTGAGCCTGCCAGCAGTCCATTTAATGGACTGTTTATCTTCCTCATAAGATGGGAGCACTCGCAGAGTTAATCCCCACGTCTTGTGGTAGTGCCCCCAGGAGCCTCCATCCTTCTGGAGTCCGTAGTCTGCTCTCAAGACGTGGCACTGTGGGCCTGGAGCCCCCGGTGACAGGCTGGGCTTGGTTACCGCACTGGAGGCCACTTTTGCTTAATCACACCTCAGACTTCGTGGGAATTTTCCAAAGAGCTCAGGACAGACTGGTCATTGTTGCCAGGCAGGAAAGGGGTTAGGACAGTGGCGGAGAATCCCTAAGGTCACAAGGGGGTGGGGCATAGGAAGGAGCCCAGGAAACCTCAGTCAAGGGCCAGGAGGAGGAAGGGGTGTGGAGGGAGCAGTTACACAAGTGGCTTTCCCCAGCCAGTGCAGGCAGTTGCCCTTGTGGACTCCAGCCGGCGTTCCATCTCTTCAGCACTAGCAGAGTTGAATAAGAGGCTCAGTGGACTTGGAGGCTGAGGTGGGAGGATCGCTTGAGCCCAGGAGTTGGGAGGCTACAGTGAGCGATGACCATGCCACTGTACAGCCTGAGTGACAGCAAGACCCTGTCTCTCAAAGTGATGATGTGAAGACCTTGCAGTGGTGGCTTTAGGTATCCAGGCTGCCTGGAACCTACAAGGCAACGCCCACTGAAGGCTCCACCACAGGATCGGCCTCAGTCCCATTTGCCAAGACTGTGTGAAGCCCCCCTCCCCCAGCTGTGCAATGCTGAGGCAGGTGAACAGCAGAGAGAAGGCAAAAGTAGGAAAGGCTTACTGAAGGGGGCTCGTGTACACAAGGGAGGAAGGATCTCCCTGCACTAGGTCCCTCACGGGTCCTCAAGTCCACAGATCTGGGCCCAGCTGCAGAATGCCCCCCAGGACCCGCCAGCCTCTTGCAAATCCCAAGCGGCCGGACGGGCAGGGTGGAGTGCAGGTGCAGAAAACCCCCTTCTTTTCCGGGGTCGCCTGCCCCACTCCACACAGCTTAGTTTCTGAACAAGCTGGTTCCAAGGCCCTGTGGGTCCCAGTTCGCACCGAGGGCGTCGCCTTGAGTGCTCAAGCTCCCCAGCATCTGGTTTCTCAGGAAGTGAGAGCTACACATCTGCTCCTACGAAGAATTATTTGTCAAATAAGCCTTGTTTCTCAGCAACCACTGTAGCCCCCAGGGCCACCAGTGAAGGGGGGCTTGCCTTCCTTCGCCCTCCCACCTCCCCAAAAAAGAAGTTTGGAAGAGCAGAGTGCTCCCCGCCCAGCTGCAGCAACCTCCCGGTTGGACAATACACCCTCTGTCCTCAGCCCAGAGATCCGCCTCTGGGGTTGGCTCTGCCCCTTCCCCCGCTCTTCCTGGTTCCCAGCACCAAACCCTCCACCAAAGTGCTCCTGACCCAGGGGTCTCCAGTCAGGGTGGCCCCACACCCTCAAATCCCCCCTTCTACAGTCCCTGTACCCCAAGGACCTAAACACAGCTACAGGCATGGGGTCACCCCAGGCCATGGAAAAAGGGGAGCTGCCTTCTGTGCCAAGATGGGCCGCCTTCTGCATGGTCAAGGTAAGAAAATCTGTGTGGAGGGACGTCAGAGGGTGTTCCTGAAATTGTTCCACCTTTGTTTTTTTTTTTAGTTTATTTATTTTTTAATGTAGAGACAGGGTCTCAGCCTCCCGAAGTGCTGTGATTTCTGGCATGAACCACTGCGCCCAGGCCTGGTTCACCTTTATTAACATCAGCCTGGCCGCCGCCTCCTCCCCTCAGCTCCTGCTGATCTGAGCTGGAAATCAGGATGCTGGCTGGACGTGTTTCACCCCCACCATGCTGCCTCTCATGTAACTGTTCACTCTTAGCCTTTCTCATCAGCCTCCTTCCCCTTGACCCCCACATGAAGAGTAGGAATTCTGCCTCAGCTGGGAGCTCAGCTGGGAGCTCAGCTGCTCAGCTTCTGACCCTTTTCCAATTCCTTGGAACCTCAGAAGTTCCTCCGGTGGGCCCGCCAGGCTAGGTAGCAATACCAGCATGAGTTCGAGTTTCTAGCCCTACTCACCAGAGATCCAATCAAGTTCCTCTTTGGGGCTCAGCCTCCCCACTGGGACACCTTTAGAGATGAGAATCTATGGGTTGGACATGCATCCAGGGCCCAGTCAGAGACCCTGATGAATGCTGGGAAGGACCGGAGGTCAGAAGCACTAGCTGAAGGCGCCAAAGAAACAAATGAATGTTCACATCTTGTGGGGCTCAAGTACTAGGTCAAGTCTTGACCTTCAGCCCTGCCGTTTCCCCAGCAGCCTCCAATCCTCGCCAACCCCTTAACTCTTGCCTCTCCCCTCCTCCCAGTGCCTATCTGTTCCACCTAGGCTCCCTCTACCCCTCCTCCCCAGTCCCCAGCTCTGCCTCCAGACCCCAGTCTGGTGATTCCCACTGATCTAGCCTGTGAAACTGCCCCCTGGACACCAACGCAGCCAAGAGCAGTAAGATCAAGGCTCTGCATCCCAACCACACCAGCCCCTCCTAAGTGCCAGTCTCTGGGGAGACCCACATTGTCCCCATGCACTGCTCCACAGCCTCTGGAATCCGGGGCTCCACCCCCTGGTAATCAGAACCAGACCTCCCAGCCTTTGCCAAGGAAGAGCACAGAAAAGACCCAGTTGAGGGATGAGACAGGGAGGGACAGAGGGCCTTAGAGCCGGTGGTACTGGCTGCTTTGGGTAGGCACTGGGCATTGGCTTCTTAGAATCAGCCCCCCCCCCGCCGCCATTCTTCATCATGGAAAATCCAGTGGGGAGGGTGAAGGAGGGAGAAAGTTTCAGGAAGTACTTGTTGCTAACAGATGTTGGGAAAACTGGGAATGGCCATAGTTCAGAGCTTCTAGGAAGATACCCCACCCTTCTCTCTATCCTCCACCTTCCCCTCCAGGATGGCACAATGCAAACCAGCCCCATGGCCCATTAGCTCAATTCCAGGAAGTTCCTATCCAGTAGCAGACACTGCGAAAAGAAGGGAATGAAGTTAGACCATGGAAAGAACTTCCATTTCCATTGGGAAGGCTGGAACTCAATCAAGACCTTCTTAGAAGTGTCCCAGGAGTGGGAATGACAGTCCAGCTCCAAAGGCTGAGTCCTTTCGGGAGAACATCTGGCACAGGAGAAGTCTCCCGTGGGTTAGAGGGCCAGGGAAGGGTGTTCAGTGGCTTGGGACCCAAGAAACATCAGGTGTCTGCACCCGATTCTGGCGCCGGTGGGTAGGTGACGCTGCCAGGCCAACAGGCCTCACCAGGCCAGCCGCGGGTGGTCCTGACCCTGCAGCCAGGCTCGGTGGGACCGCTGGGAGGCGGAGGCTGCGCGGCGGTCCCCTGTGCCTCGTTACTAGTCCCTTCGGGACCTCCGTCCACCTTTCCTTCTGCGTGTCCGGCTCGCGAGCTCCTTTTTGCCCGTGTCCCGCCGGGCCCGTCTCCGCTCGACCATCTGTGGCCATCTCTGGGTCCCTCC